ACTCTCTACGTAAGCACAACTCCAAAGGTCTTATCAACGATTATTTTTCTAATAAAACAACTTAAATGGTTATAAATTTTCTATGTTGGTTATTGTTATAACTTTTGTTAATCCTTGTTATATCTTCTTGTTTCCTATATTTAATGTTCTTATCCTCTTTATTTCTTATTGTGCAATAAAAGATTTAATCTTAATGTACTAATGTATATACGATATCAAATAAATTGAAATTGAAATTGAAATTAAGTTAGCCTAAATAATTCTTTTATTTACATTCCTCTTTTATTTCTACAATTATTCGTTTAGTTTCGTTTTAGGTTCTTAATTCCTTCCTTTTATTATTATTATTATTAATTCTTTGTTTTATATTCACCTATTTTAGTTGATTAGTTATAGTTTAATTTATTTTATTTTTTTTTGTATTATCTAGTGGCCATTATTTCTTTTATAATAATTTAGTNATATTAGTTCTTTGTTTTATATTCACCTATTTTAGTTGATTAGTTATAGTTTAATTTATTTTATTTTTTTTTGTATTATCTAGTGGCCATTATTTCTTTTATAATAATTTAGTTATTTATTTAAAAATCATTTTAGTTGACCTTTTATTAAAGATGTATTTTATGTTACGTTATATTAGGTTATTTTATTTATACCTCTTCCGTTTTAGTTTATTAAAATTTTGGATTTATTTAAAATATAGCTTCAATCAATTGAATTCATTCGTACTTAATTAATTTCGCCCCATTTTTAATTTTAATTTAGTGTAATTTAGCTATTCACATATTTCATATTTAATTTAGCTTCTTTAATTTACTTTGTTCAGTTTGATTTTGTTTAATTAAATCTTATGTTTATCTAATCTTTAATTTTATCCCTTTTTTTCTTCCTTCCTTTTTTACTTTTAGCTCTTGGCTATTCTTAACCTATCACTTACATATACATCTGTCCTCATATGTCTTTTTTCTTGTTTAATTCTCCTTATATCTCACTTGAGTTTAGTTAATGTAATCTAACTTCGCGTTATTCAAACACTCCAAGACCAATAAAATTTTCGTGAACCTCTATATTAGTTCCGGTTGCACTTTCCACGTTCAATAATATAGAGGGATAACTCAACTTACGTTTTAGGAGATTTCATCACACAATTAATTAGCTTGAAAAGGAGAATATGTAAGGTCGAACAGATAACTAAACTTCCCATAAAGGCGAAGATATGTGTCTTTCTGTCTGCCTTTTGCATACCCACGGTACGAATTTGCAAAACTTTAATAACGTTTTCCCACAAAGTTGGAAATTGTGAATATCTCGCGATATTATTAAACGTTCGACTTGGTTTTTGGAATTTCACTCACTTACCTTTTATCCTCGATTAGGCCAGCAGCTACCCGTAAAGTTCCGATCGCTGCTGCTGGATGGTCGGTGTAGTATCTGGGATGGCGGTCGCTGATGTGGTAGAGTATAGGAAATATGTCTGAGTACTTGGAAGATTTGCCTTTTTGGGCAATATTGGTCAGTTTTTTAGTTTTCTTGGTTTTTTGCGTTTTAACACAGTATTTATTTTAATACTAAACGTGTGTTTAAAAGGTGTGTTTTCACCACAACTTAAATAAGCTCAAGCGCGTTTTCACATTTAATTTCTAAGTCCGACACTTGAACAAAAGGCTACAGAACTTTTCCACTGTCACTGTTGAATTGGACGCAAGCTAACAATATGGCGACTGTGGTGTTGCCAGCAGGTTTTATATACCCTTGCACTGCGGGAATATTCCATTTGGAAGAATAACGGGCACTGCGTCATTTGGACTAGTTCCGTTACTCTTCCAAATGGAATTTGCCGCAGTGCAAGGGGGAATATCAAAAAAAATCCGGGGGTGGCGTGCCCCAGAAAAAAACACAAGGTGAAAAAAAAAATTATAAAATATTCGGCAAAAAAAAACTACAGAAAAAAAAACCTATTTAAACTAAACCCCACTTAGCGGACTATTTTTCCCCAATTTCCGTACCGACATATCGGACCACTGACAAAAGCAGAGGAAAAAAAGTCAATTACAAAAAAACTAAGTGCGTTTAGCACTGCCTCACCGGGTGAATGCAAAACTCCGGAAGACGTGACGTGAAGTCTCAGAGAAGCCTTCGGTTGCTGACCAAAAGGACCGATCCGAATCAGCGCACTCAGCTCCACTCATCCCCCGCAACGCAGCAAGGGGCAGCAACACATGCCCCCCTGGGACTTGCGTGATGGTGAAGCGTAATGCGCCAGTCAGGACCAGTCAACCTGACCAGACCTCAAGGCATTACACAAAGGGGTGCACTGTGGCTAGTCATGTCGGCTGGGCGGGGTTCTTGCCTCACTACTGTTCCCTGCGCCATAGCAGAGAAAAGTCATGCCTGGCAAACATCCCAACGAACGGACACACAACAATATAGAAATTAAAAAAAAAATAATAATAAAAAAAATCCGTTAACAAAAACACAAAGAAAAGCTGAAAAAGAACGTTACAATTAAATATTTAGAATAAACTGAAACCAAAATAAACCAAAAACCCAACTACGAAAAATCGAAAAAAAACCTGCGGCCGAATATAAGGGCGTCATCTGTTGTTGTTGTTGTGACGCCCGGTGCTAGCCCTCCCCCCCTCATCCGTGGCTACTGGCGCACCCTAATTTCAGTAGCCCCATAAGTAAAGACCTAATGTGCCTTCCTAAGTAACAGACAGAGTCAGCCATTCCCATTTTTAATTATAAGATTTATTTATAATTCATTTTCTTAACCTAATTCTCAAAATTAATCATCCTAATGCTAAGTCTCTTTTATCTAAGGTAAGTGTGTTTCAGAGTGATTACGACTAAGGTAAGTATATGTATAGAAAAACTATGACTAAGGTAAGTATATTGACAAAAGTAATAGTGTTAAGGTAAGTCAGGTAGGTGCGTCTGGTATACAGGTCAGGTAAATGAATTAAATAGGAAAATCAGGGGAGTAAGGCAGGATAAGTAGGTCCGGTGGATAAATTTAAAGTAACTAATGTTAAGGCGAGGCAAGTGTAAATAACTAACCTGATTTAATTAGGTACATTAAGTTAGCCTAATTAATTCTTTTATTTACATTGCTCTTATATTTCTACAATTATTCGTTTAGTTTCGTTTTAGGTTCTTAATTCCTTCCTTTTATTATTATTATTATTAGTATTATTAATTCTTTATATTAGTTCTTTGTTTTATATTCACCTATTTTAGTTGATCAGTTATAGTTTTATTTATTTTATTTTATTTTATATATTTTTTGTATTATCTAGTGGCCATTATTTCTTTTATAATAATTTAGTTATTTATTTAAAAATCATTTTAGTTGACCTTTTATTAAGGTTGTATTTTATGTTACGTTATATTATGTTATTTTACTTATACCTCTTCCGTTTTAGTTTATTAAAATTTTGGATTTGTTTATTTATTTAAAATATAGCTCCAATCAATTGAATTCATTCGTACTTAATTAATCCCCAGGATATTTTTGCGATGTTGCTTTGACCAGGGCTTGAACCCAGGTACTGATGAGTGAAAGCGCGCAATGCTTACCACTACACCACAGCGGCCGACTATACAGATACACATACATATATACCTATGTATATACCTATTCATATATATATGTAGGATCGGTTGACAAAGCGACACGGACAGGACGTAACTACTAACGTTAAACTACTTACGAGTCGACTACCCAAAAATGCAACACTTCACAACGACGCGATGAACCCCGGGAAAAGAACCGATTGACAGACTGTAAATGAATAGAAAAAAGAGGACTTGCGAGTGAAGCTGGGCAGATTGAGATTGAGAGTCGAAGCGAGCGGTTCAGCGGTGCGCGGTGTGGCGGCGAGCCTTTTTCTTTTTAAATTAAAGTTGTGTAAATGTTAGACTGTACGTTAAACCGAACTATGTTGTGTAACAAAACGCTTAAATAAAACTATTGTACATTTAAAATAGCGGGTTATAGTTTCATTACCCCCTACATTTGGTGTCAGAAGGTGCGAATATTAAGCGCCCACAAGTAGAAGTGCTAATACGTTAGAAAAAAGCATAAAAGCATTGTGCGTGTCCCGGTACACGGAACTTTAGTCGCTTAAAAGTAATTGTCGCACGCATAGAGACTAAAATCTACGTGCGTATCCCGGTGCATGACAATTGTGAGCCCCGTTACCTAAAAGTGTCGTTATTTTATTTATATGTACATGTGTGTGTCCTGGTACACGGAATTTTAGTCGGCTAAAAGTAGACGCCGAACGCATAGAGACTACAATCTACGTGCGTATCCCGGTGCATGACAGTTGTGAGCTCCGTTACCCAAAAGGGCCGTTAATTGTAATATACATAGTACATAGCCCCACGCGCTTGAAAAATAAAATATACCGTTGGCTGCAAATAGCCACATAAAGACATGTACATAAGTACGAGTACATAGCGTGGTCTTTACTTATGTACATATGCACAAACTCGCAGTCTGCAAAGTTGGGTGCTAGTACATACGTGTTGATTGTTCGTCAGCAGCAAGTTGGCTGCAAGCTGAATTCGTTAATTGGTCATCGGCAGCGCGTTCGCTGCAAGCAGATAAAGTTATATCCAGTCACTCATCGGCAGCACGTCGGCTGCAAACAAAATAGTTGTCAGTTGTTCATCGGCAGCAAGTTGGCTGCAGATATACAAGTTGTATACCGCTCGTTGGCAGCACGTTGGCTGCAAACAAAATTTTCGTCAGTTGTTCATCGGCAGCAAGTTGGCTGCATACACATAGAGTTGTACATCGTTCATCGGCAGCAAGTTGGCTGCATACACATAGAGTTGTACACCGTTCATCGGCAGCACGTTGGCTGCAACCAAACATCGTCAGTTCTTCGTTGACAGAAAACAAACAGAAGTTACGCCAAACTGTGCGTTGACAGCAAGTTTTTGCGAACGCAAAGGCATAAGAAGTTTATCGTCGGAAGAAGGTTCGTTGCAAAAGTAAATAACAACTAGTCGAGTGCAAACACATACTCGCCCGAAAGCAGAAAACTCTTATGAACTGCTCGTCGAGTGCTAACATAGCAAGCAGCTCGTTAATTACAACTACAGAGCCGTATATATGTATAACGAATTTCAACGAGTTCGCTGCACCAAATATTAAGGTGGTTCGAGTAGGAAATTTTATTACTGACTGCGGCGTTGGAAGCAACAGCAAACAACAAATAATTTGAGGTGGCGGTTCGTATATTTGACTGCAGCGTTGGAAACCAAGGCAAACAATATTTAAGAAAAATAAGATAAGTTATAGTAGTTTGAACTTTTTATAATATCTCTGCTTTTATATATGTAGCTACTGTATGTGTTAAATATTTCCGCCACATCTCCCACCTATACAACGCAATATACGATTCGAATTTAGTATTTAAAAGTTGACACTTCTAAATTTGCCAAAACTTGTAGTTGCTTTGCGACAAGATGAACAAGGAAGAGATTTTAGCTTTGAACGTTAGGGAACTGAAAGCGAAATTGGCCGAGTTAGGGCTGAACACATCGGGACGCAAAGCAGCATTGCAAGATAAGTTGTTTGAGGCTTACAATATAGAAATACCCGACGATGAAGACGATGACGTATCGGTACAGGAGGATTTGGCCTCACGAAATACGAGTGTAGTAGAACCGGCCTTAGTGCGCTCCAATTTCACGCTTCGTGACATCGAAGACTCGCTGAACAAATTTTCGGGTTCAGGTTATCCGTCGGTAAAACAATGGGTGGAGCATTTTGAAGAAAATGCAATGGCAGTACGTTGGGATAGCCTGCAGATGTTCATATACGCTAAACAGCTTTTAAAAGGTGCAGCTAGGATCTTCGTGCGCAGTCAAGAGGGCATAGATTCGTGGAACGCGTTACGTAGAGCACTCCTGAAAGAATTCGGTACCACTTTGTCGGCAGTTGAGGTGCATCGCAGGCCGCGAAATCGTCGCAGGCGCGCTGGTGAGGATTATAAGGAGTATTTGTACAGCCTTATGGAGCTAGGGAAACAAATTAACCTCGATGAAGTTAGTATCATCGAATACTTTATAGAAGGCATCCCAGACTCGAGGTCAAATAAGGCCAATTTGTACTTAGCGAAAAATGTAAAGGAGCTCAAAGACCAAATACGGGTGTACGAGAAAATTAGTTCCACTAAGAATAATTCCTCGACCCCATCGCAGGGCGGTAGTCAGGTTACGCAAGTAGATGGAAAACGATCCCAGCAGGCGATCGCGCCAAGATCAGGTAGTCGCTGCTTTAAATGCGGTGACATGACGCATTTCGCAAAGAGCTGCCCTAACCGCGATTTTTTATGTTTCAAGTGTGGTCGCGCAGGACATCGGGCCTCCGACTGTAAGGGAACAAAGGGCGAACCAAGTAGCGCCAATATGATTAGTAGTTGTTCTAATATAGGGCATGACCTGGCCAAAAGCGGGCTACTCTTTAAGGATGTATGCGTTAATGGGCGTTATTTTTCTGCAATGATAGACACGGGGAGCGATCTGTGCCTCCTGCGTCACGATACATTGTTTTTGTTGTGCGATATTGAGTTGTCAAATGATAAACGGTTGTTGAGGGGTATTCGCGACTCCCAGATGGAAACAGAAGGTAGTTTTACGTGTGAAATACACGTTGACGGGTTGCAGATAGATACGATTTTCCATGTGGTCTCGGAGCGAGACATGCGTTACGCTGCAATAATCGGCAACGATATTTTGCAGCATGTAGAGTTGGTAGTATCACGCGACAATATCGAATTTAGGGCTAAACCGATCGCGGACAAAGTTCAGCTAAACCAGAAAAAGAGGGTTGAGGAGGAAAGGAAAACCAGGGTTAGGGCGAAGCAAATCCGGTCCGAGGAGAACATAAAAAAAGCTGTAGGCGTGGTTAAA